TATTATTATTTATCTTTTTGAAAAGTAGAACCTATTTCTCTGTGACTCAATAAATTTTTAATTACTGCTGACTATACATTTAAAAGTATTTTCTCAAACATGATAATATAATTGAATTGGTAAGCAAATAAAAGCTAGCTATTAATAACTAACATTAGGGCAAATTATATCCACTCTGGAAATATATTTTCATTATTAGATTTCCACTAATTTTTCTATGTATTTTCCTGAGTTATATTCAATTAAATATCATTATGGAACAATTTTTTGTTTGTCCTCTCTATTGAAGTATGGTGTTAGTTCAATGTTATGATAAAACAATCACTTTGACAATGAAACAAAACTATTTCTTATTCATGTGGTGTTGGCAGTTGCAGCTCTGATTTCCCCGCAGCCCATCAAAATCTATTCATGAGCCTTGGGCTCTTCCATCAACTCACTTCATTAGATAAGATAGAGTAAAAATGCCTTCCTAAGATTTACAAAATTTAAAAGAAAAATTAAGGGACTAAGATTTGTTTTCTCAAGAAAAAAAAATTAAATTTCACAATATAATTGATGTAAAAAGTACATAAGTTTATACTTACAAAATTATATACATATATTATAAAATACACATATCCTTAGAATATTCATAATAACCTCAAAATGCAAGACATTATTGAAATAATATATATACTATTATTTTTATTAGAGGCCTCTCATTATCTCTTTATGGTAATGTGTGGATGTGATTACTTAACATTAAACTCTGATAAATGGTTTTTAAATATAGTCTAAATAAAAAGGATGTTTCTAAATTCCATTCTTGTATAAAGTTTTAGCACATGGTATAGTGTTCAAGGGCAGTAGCATACTCACATGAGGGACTGATAAAAGAATTAATTTTCTATGATCTAAAAGTATATTCAAAAATATAAAACATATCAACAGACAAATAAGTTCAAGCACTCTTAACAATTTGTCAAAAGAGCATTAGGTAAGTAAAAAACCATCACTGCTACCGGTGCTATACAGTTTCCTGTGAGAATATATATTTATAATTATATATATATATATATATATATATATGATATTTTTTTTTCTTAGTTACTTTCTTGTTTCTGGGACAAAATACCTGACACCCACAAGATAAGGAGGAGAGATTTACTTCAGGTTACATTTTGTAGAGCTTTCAGTCCATATCCCAAGGCAAGGCTACATGGCAAAGGGGCATGACAGTGGAGAAATAGTCCATGGCATTACAGGCAGGAAGAAGCAAGCAGCAAGCAGGGAAATGTCATCTTTTCTGTCCCTTTATATTCCATTCAAGCTGCAAGCCTATTGATCAGTGCTACCCACACCCAGGGTAGGGCTTCCCATTACCCACATCCAGAACAGTACAAAGGAATCAGTGAGCTAATCCAATTATCACACCTTTAATCTGTATTCATTTATCCTTAATCTCAAATCCAGCCACCTCCAAAGAGCCCCACCTATGAAACTTTCTTATCCTTCAGAAGTAAAAGATATGTATTTACAGAGATTAGAAGTAAAAAGTATTATGAATATCTCAGGATGCAATGTATTTAGTAGTTTCCATATATATGTGTCTTCAAATATATGATATATAAATATATATTCAATGAAGTATATTATAAAATATTTAATCAAATATACATATAAATTAACAAATAGAAAAAATGGACATGCATCAAATTATGACAGGTATATACTTCAATAATCCAGTTATAATTTTAAATCACTGTAAGCCAAACTGTACTTAATATACCTAATGAATATCATGGCTCATCTAGCCTAGCTTAACATGCTGACAACACTTATATTACCATACAATTGGACAAAATCACCTAACACAAAGCTTATTTTATTAAAATGTACTGAAGGTATTGTGTAATTTATTGAATACCAAACTGAAAGTAAAAAACCAGAATGGTGAACGAATAGGCTCTCACACCAATGCAATTTTGAAAAATCATAAGATGTACCATCGCAATTCAGGGATCTATGTGTTCCATACATGTTTATTTATTTGATTCAACTAATCTTTAATGTTTCTGATAAAAAGTCAAGACAAGCGAATTGCAATGTGCTGATTCAAGGATGATTCTTTGAACATTTATGAGTCAGGACAGCATGGCTAGTCAGGACAAATAACATCTGGTGTAGATAGGATCCAGAATAGCTGCTGCTGAAGTTTACATACTTAAACTTTCTTTATGCAAGTTCTTTAGATTCCCTATAGTATGTAAAGAAGAACATTGTTTATTAACTGCCTAAGAAATATGATAAAGTCTCCATTGCCATAGAAACAACATTAATAATGGTACTTACTGTCCTCTTTATGTAAGTCTAAATAATATAAATATAAATACTAAGAGATAGAAGAGTGTAAAACTTTTTTAATCTGAAGGAACAATGTAGCAAAGACCTGTTGTTTTCTTCTTATATGAACTATAATTTAAAAATCACAGCCGGGATTTAGGTCAGTGGCACCGCACCTGCCTCACAAGTACAAGGTCTTGAGTTTGATCCCCAGTACCAGAAAAAAAAATCATAAATTGTATGATTCCATGCTTATTTTTATATTATATGCTAAATGTCAAATGTAATTCATGGTTTTATTAATTGCACAATGATATGAACTAGCATAATTAATTTTCTATTCTGTATGAGCAAGTCCGATGGAAAAAAGGAATAAACAGACTAAACAATGGTGTAATCACATTAATTCTTTTGTGGTCCCAAAGAATTAGAACAAGGAAACAGAGCAGTTGAAGATTATAAAATCATAGAATATTATAATTTTATTTATATTAATCTATGTACATCTTTTATGTTTTAATTATAATAGTTTTAAAATACCTATTCATTGATGAGATACATATGCTAATTTTATCAGTAAAAATATGGTTTCCTATAGGAAAACTTCACATAGACATGATCAATTTTTAGGTAATATCAGTTTTAGATAGGTCATCATAACAAAATTTTAAAATATTAGCATCAAATAGATATACATAGTTCCAATAAAATCATATAGAGGAATTTAGTTACATTTTTGTCTCATTCAAAAGACCTAATATTGCATTCCAGTTATCTAGATATTCACTTTTCCATTGATATTATTTCTAGACTTAAAACAATTTATATTATCTTTTTATGTCAGTCACAGTAAAACAATATCTCATTTATTACTGAATTAAAATTCATAGCTCTTTAGAATGTAACATTCAAGTATTTTAGTTCTTAATATCAAAATATTATAATTTTATTTCTAAATTTTATATAAAATATAATGACCACAATTATGTAGATTTTTTAAAACAGTGCTAAACTTTTTATCTTAGGTTTCATGTTATATTATAAAAGGTAATCAAATGCACTCTTGGTTACCATACTTGAAGTCAGTACCCTTCTAAAGTAATTGATTTCACCAATCTTTTCTGGAAACTCATTCATGATAATCATAATTCCCATAAATACTCTCTTTCATCATTTAATTTTATGAGGCATGTTTTTATGCTGTCTGTTATATGTAATTTATATCCTTTATTTTGGCATTTGCCCTGTTTTACTAGTGTATAGAATTTTAGCCCTAGGTTTAGCTGAAGGTTCCTGAAGAAAAACTGATTCATTTATAAACATTTTCCTAGGTTTCTTTAAACTTCAATAGAACAATGTTTTAGGTGGTAAATATTTAATAAATCATTGTTGGCTACTAATTATTTTTAATTTTCCTTGATACAACTATGAATCTGGAAATATCACTACTTATTTAGGAATTGTGGTAAATAATAACAATTAAAACTCATATATTTAAGGTTTTTTAAAAACTTTGTTTTTTCATCAACTCTTCTCCTGTCTCATTAATATGTTCTTCAGAATTGCTCTATTAATAACTAATTTAAAAATGACCTATATGTCCATCAACAGGTGAATGGATTAAAAAATGTGGTTTTATATACAATGGAGAACTACTCTACCATAAAGAAGGATAAACTTGAGCCATTTGTAGGAAAATGGATACACCTTGAGACCATACTGTTAAGTGAAATAAATCGGACACACGAGGTTAAATATTGCATGGTTTCTTTCATATGCGAAAGCTAAAATATAAATATAGATCCAAATAAAAGATAGATAATAGGAAGTAAGAAGATAGATCTTTTGCAAATGGGAAGAGGACAGAGATGGAGAGGGAAAAGGGAGGGAAAGTCTTTGTAAATAGGGATGGGTAGAGGAGTTGAAGCAGGGCAGGGAATGGGGAAAAAAGAAGAACCAAGATACATTATGTAAAGGTACAAATTGCCAATGATGAACATCATCATAATATATACCTAAAATGTACCAATAAACTTAATGAATAATAATAATAAAAATAATGGAGATATGTTATGTACATGTACCAACTTTCCATGAGGAATGTGATCATTATGTGCTGTCAGCATATATTATAAAAAATAAATAAATAAAGGGCTAGGAATTTAGCTCAGCAGTATATCACCTGCCTGGCAAGCGCAAAGTCCTGAGTTTGATCCCTGGTACCAAATACATAAATAAATAAAAATAAAAATAAAATTTGATTTTAAAAAGAATTTATTTAAAGAGACTAGGAAACATTTTGTGTTGGTTTTCTAACATTAATTTTATCAATGACTTGTAGTTATAGTGTGTTTTTGGTGAACTACAACCCAATGCACCAAGGATGGGGTCTTACAGACTTACGGTAGTAAACATTGCAGAAATGGCTACAGTGAGTTCCTGGACTGGAAATTGTTCTTAAGTCCAACAAAGTGAGGGCTGGGGATTTAGCTCAGTGGTTCCACTGCCTGCCTTGCAAGCACAAGGACCCCAGTGAGATCCCCGGTACCAAAAAAAGAAAGTCCAACAAAGTGAGTCTTATACACTTTTGACACAAATATATAATGTAAAGCATAAAAAACCCAAACATACACACAAAAGTACTGTAAATAAACCATTTTTACTTTTACACTCACCTTAAATGGTGGTACAGTAAAATACAACTGTAAAACAACTATTTTTACTTTTACAGTTACCTAAAAATTGTAGGGCAGCCACGAGTTACTACTGTGATTTGTTTACATCTAAAAATGTTCATAATTCGAAAGTCCATTCATATAGGCGGAAGTTCGCAATTCGAATGTTCATAAATTGGTGACTTACATTCCTTTTTGACATGTCATAGAATGGACATAGTGACATAAAAATCTGTTCATGCACGGACCACAGTTCCCATAATTCCTGCATTTAGAAGGGATCGTGACTACAGTACTCCTTAACAGAAGCTCGTCAGAAGTGATTTATATGTGTCATGCAGCCTTGCAAACTATGCCTTGGTGATAAGGGAAACCAAGAGAAAGAAGATGCTATTGTCTGAATGCTTCCCTCCAAATCCATGTGTTCAGGAGGTGGAGTCTATTCAGAAGAGTCAGGTCACTGGAGGTGTGACCTAGAAGGGTTTATCTCCTTCCTCAGCTCCTTCTTAATTCTCTGAGTCCTGTCTGTTATGCCTTGAGGAGCTCTCCTCCACTATACTTTTCTGCGAAGACTTCTTGCCTTGGATCCAGCTTTTTATGGACTGAAACCTTTTTTAAACATGAGCCAAAATAAACCTCTCCCTTTTTAAGTTGTAGATGTTTGTTATTGTGGCCCAGGAAAGAGAGATTTCCTAAATCAGTGTCTGTATGCTGGTGTTCAGTGAAGGAGTCTTTAGGAGGTGACAAACTCATAAGGTATTTGTGGATGGTATTAGGGCCCTTACAAAAGTACATGAGGAAGTGGATACACTCACCTCTACTTTTTTTTTTTTTTAGTTCTTTTTTTGGTATAATTTAGGTATACAATCCCTTTACAATTATCATTGGCTGTTTGTACCTGTACATGATATATTTTGGTTCTTTTTTTTTTTCCCATTACCTGTGCACCCTCCACCCCCTCCACCCTACCCTATTTACATAGATTTCATTTCCTTTTTTTTTCTTTTCTCATAGTTTTTTCTTTCGCTCTTTTCCTTTCCCCTTCCCATCCCTTCACTCCTTCATCTTTGGACATTTTTTCCTATTTCAAATTATCAGTTATTCATTTTAATCATTTTAACCCTTGTTTACACTATCAGTTTCTCACACAAGTGAAACTACTCAGTATTTACATATGTGTGTCCTATTTATTTCACTTAAGAGTATGGCCTCGATATGCATCCATTTAGCTATAAATGACTCTAGCTTTTCATTCTTTATGGCTGAGTAGTACTCCATTTTATAAAAAAACCACATTTTCTTTATCCAGTTTCCAGTTG